TTTTACAAAGGGGAGGAGGAACTACATATCCAGTCTTTGCTTAACTTTTAAATTCTTTCCTTTCCAGCTTTATTGAGAAATAATTGACATTTAATATTATATAATTTTAAGGTGTACAATGTAGTGATTTAATATACTTGTATATTGCAAAATAATTACTACCATAATGTTAGTTACATTTAAAAATTTTTTAAATTAAATTCCAGTTAGTTAGCATAGTGTAATATTAGTTTTGGGTGTACAAGCATGATTCATCACTTAGATAACATACTTATATAACACTTGGTTCTCAACAAAACAAGTACACGCCTTAATCCCCACCACCTATTTAAGCCATCCCCCCATCCACTTCCCTAACAGACTCTACATTTAAGAGTCTGTTTCTTAGTTTGCTTCTTTCTCTTCTTTTCCTATGTTTGTTTCTTAAATTCCACATATGAGTGAAATCCATAGGGTATTTGTTTTTCTGACTTATTTTGCTTAGTGAATATACTCTGGTTCTATCCATATTGTTGCAAATGGCAAGATTTCATTCTTTATGATGGCTCAGTAATATTCCATTGTATATATATCACCTCTTCTTAATCTGTTCATCAGTTGATGGACATTTGGGCTGCTGCCATAATTTGTCTATTATAGGTGATGCTGCTGTAAACATTGGGGAGCATGTATTCCTTTGAATTAGTATTTTTGTACTCTTTGGGTACCTAGTAGTATAATTGCTGGATTGTTGCTACTTTATAATTCTAAAAGGAGGTTTAGACACCATCTGCTTATTAGAATGGCTATAGTAGGAGAAAGGATCACTCAAAGTCTTAGGTTTAAATTTTAGAATTGCAGGTCAGCCTGAGATGATCAATAATGATTTAATTCATGCTACCTAAACTTTCAAAAGACTTAGGTATAAACTAGAATGTGATTTTACTAATCAAAAAACACATTCTGCAATAGAAACTGTATGTGGATTGTAATAGTCTTTGTCATTGTGCATTATCTTCCAAAAGGCAAATCCAGGCAAGAAATCAAAATTAAAAGGAAAGGCTGCTAGGTAAGTATGGAGTTAATGCAAGCAGACATATGGTTAGATAACCTCAATAACTATCTTCAACGAATTACCCTGATGCGTAAACAGCCTAGTAGAGGAAAATACCTGACATAATCTGAAAGACAATACTCCTTGCCCTAGCATAGTAGTAGAGATTTTGTGACAAAGTCTTATTCTTGGACCATTGCTAACCTAAGGGCCTCTGATAACACAAACATACAAAACTTGATTCAGTTTAGATTTTTTATTTTCTCTTTTCTGAGTTACGATACAGGCTTATCATTTCTGAGACTATACACTGGTAGGTTTTTTTGTTTGTTTGAGCTTGGGTGTTGTTAAAGCTTTTTAGCCAAGGAAATCTATTATAATACATAGTTTTAATGTTTCCTTTATACTTCTCACTACCTGATCTTGTTTTATTTACTTGTAAATTATCATCTCAGTGTCTCATCTCCATCTAACAGAGACTTTCTCCTGAGAACAAACTCCTAAAAAACAAGGACTTTGTATTATTCGTTATTATATGTTCATTGCTTTTATAAGTATCTGGACAATTGAAAACAATCAATGAATATTTGTTGAATTAATTTTGTTTTTTTTAAATTTTGTTTGTTAATTATTGTTTTAGTTCAGAGTATTTCATGAGATAATTTTTTCCTAATTTCATGAAAGGAATGAAATCTTAGCATTAATTTTAGAGATTCATTGTTATTGTCTCCATATCGATCATTTCTAGACATTAGAATTTGAATGATTAAAAAGCCATTTCTATCTGTGTCCATTCTTACAGTGGCATAGTACAGACTTTAAAGAAGTAGGGGCAGAGGTTGGTCAAAGAATAAAAACTTTTATTATGAAATGATAACTTCTGGGGATCTCATGTGTATGTTGATGACTATAGTTAATAATACTGTATTGTATACTGAAATTTGTTAAGAAAGTAGATCTTAAATGTGCTCACCACACCAAAAAAGTCAAAAAAGGTAACTACATGAAGTGATGACGGTGTTAATTAGCTTGTGGCAATCATTTCACAATGTATATATACATATATATCAAAACATCACATTGAACACCTGAATTATATATAATTTTGTCAATTATACCACAGTAAAGTGGAAAAAAATAAAATAAATACTTATAGGCATAAATCATTTTATTTCACTTTGCAGATCCTGCAGCTTTTATAAACTGAAGATTTATGGTAACCCTGGGATGAGCAAGTCTATCAGCACCATTTTTCCAAAATAATTTCTTCACTTTGTGTCCCTGTGCCACATTTTGGTAATTCTTACAATATTTCAAGCTGTTATTAGTATATTTGTTATGGTGATCTGTGGTCAGTGACCTTTGCTGTTACAATTGTTATTGTTTTGGGGCACCAAGTACAGTGCCCATATAAGACGGTGAACTTATTGGTAAATGTTGTGTATGCTCTCACTGTTCTACTGACCTACTGTTCCCCTATCGCTCTCCTTCTCCTTGGGCCTCCCTAATCCCTGAGACACAACGATACTGAAATTAGGCAAATTAATAACCCTACAATGGCCTCTAAGTGTTCAGGTGAAAGGAAGTATCACATCTTTCACTTTAAATCAAAGGACAGAAATGATTAAGTATAGTGAGGAAGACATGTTGAAAGCTGATATAGACCAAAAACTAGGACTCATGCACCAAACAGTTAGTTAAGTTGTGAATGCAAAGAATAATTTTTTTAAAAGATTTTATATATTTATTTGACAGAGAGAGAGATCACAAGTAGGCAAAGAGGCAGGCAGAGAGAGAGGGGGAAGCAGGCTCCCCCTGAGCAGAGAGCCCGATGTGGGGCTCAATCCCAGGACCCTGAGATCATGACGTGAGCCAAAGGCAGAGGCTTAACCCACTGAGCCACTCAGGCACCCCAAGAATAATTTTTTGAAGGAAATTTAAAGTTCTACTATAGTGAACACATGAATGATAAGAAAGGGAAACAGTCTTATTGCTGATATGAAGAAAGTTGATTCCAACACTCATAGATGATTTTGGGGGTTTTAAAACTTCAGTGGAGGAAGTAACTACAGATGTGGTGGAAAAGAGCAAGAAAACTAAAATTAGAAGTAGAGTCTTAAGTCGTGACTAAATTTCTGCAATCTCATGATAAAACTTTAACGAACGAGGAGTTGCTTCATAGGGATGAGCAGAGAAAGTAGTTTCTTGAGAAGGAATCTACTCCTGGTGAAGATGCTGTGAAGATTGTTGAAATGATAACATAACATTTAGAATATTGCGTCAACTTAGTTGATAAAGGAGTGGCAGGGTATGAGAAGATTGACTCAAATTTTGAAAAAAGTTCTACTGTAGCTAAAATGCTATCAAGCAGCATTGCATGCTACATGGAAATTGTGAAAGAAAGAGTCACTTGATGGGACAAACTTCATTTAAGAAGTTGCCACAGCCACCCAAGTCTTCAGCAACCACTGCCCTGATCAGTCAGCAGCCATCAATGTGGAGGCAAGACCCTTCACCAGCAAAAAGCTCCCTGTGAGCTCAGATGATAGCATTTTCTAGTAGCAAAGTATTTTTAAATTAAGGTATGTACATTACTTTTTTAAACATATGCTATGGCATAGTTAATAGACTACAGTGTAGGGTAAACATAAGTTTTATATGCATTGGCAAACCAAAAAATTTATGTGGCTCACTTCATTGTGATACTCACTTTATTGTGGTGGTCTGGAATTGAACTGTCCATTATCTCTGAGGTATGCTGTGTTTTAAAAGTGAATAAAAAGGACTACAGATCCCTGAGATGTATGGCCATTTTATATGGTTACAGGGCCAGAAAGTGGATATGGTAATAATACTTTCGAATGTGTCTTATATTTCTCTTAATTATATATTAGAAAAGTAAGGCAAAACATTTAATTGTTCCTTTTACCTGCTTCTCATAGATTCTCATAGAACATATTGAGAAAAATTTAAAATTTTTAGTTGGCTAGCAAGCAAGCCAGTGGGTCAGAAATATGGGAAGAAAAACAGTTATTTTTTCTAGAATTCAGTTTCTTGTGGTTATACAACCCAAGTCTTAGTTTTTTTATTGCTGGCTAACAGCTGGAAGGTAGCTCTCAGCCTAGAAGGCCATCCTGAGGTCTTAGCAAGTATGGCCTTCTTACAAATGGTAGCTTACTTCTTCAAGGCCCATGGGATAATCTCTCAGGCTTCTTATAAAAACTCACCTTATTAGATCAGCCCCACCCAGCAGAGGCTCTATGTTGATACTCAAAGTCAGTAGATTAGGTACCTTAACAACATCTGCAAAATTCCTTCATTTTTGCCAGGTAACATAATCTAATGTTGACCATATCGTCATGGAAGTAACATCAGGGCATGTTTGGTTAGTGGTGAATGATTACTTAAAATAGCACCCTCCGAACATGATCCTATAAACAAATGACTATAATTGGATTGTATATAAACTTTAAATTTTATATCACTTTACATGCTACAAAGTGCATGCACATATGCTGCCTCATTTGATTTTCATGACTACCTGTCACGGAAGCACAACTGATATTAGCCTAATGATACCAGTGAGAAAAAAAAAAACAATGCTCAAAGCTATGAAGGGATTGCCCAAAGCACTCCATCAAATTAGCAGCAGAACTGGGCTTTGGCCTAGGGTCTTTTCATGCTATGGTCCAGTCCTCCTTGTTGCTAATTCTGTATTTTTCAAACCATGTTTGGTGAGGTTCCAAGGAGAGGTCTGAGGGATTACTCAAGAACTGAGGGTGACACTAAAAAGTGTCAGCTTAGGGTTGATATCGTGGCTCTACTTTTGCTTGTATATTTGTTGGGGGTCCTATACAAGCTTTAATAGCCACTAAACTGCTCCACGTTGCCTGGTTAAAGGTAAAAAAGAATGTTTACAAAAACAAATTTTAGTTTAAAAAATGGTTTAGACAGGTGTAGACAAAAAAAAAAAAAAAAAAACCCCAAAACCCAAGAGTCTATTCCAGTAAAATTTTAAGAAGCTGTCATGTCTTGCAGCAGCTGTTGAACCTTTCAAAAAGAAAGACAGAAAAAAAAACTGTATTAAATAGTTGGTTTGCAATGGAAACTTAGAAAAAAAAGATGAACCCTACCTCCTTCACTTTTTAAATAAATATAAAAAATAATACCTTCTTAATGTCTGGTCTCTTATTTTTCTTTTCATGCAAGCATTGACTAGCAACATAGTACATAGCTTCAATGGAAGCGGGATCAGTGTCATTCATCTTTGTATCAACATAGTCCTCAATTGTCTTTTCTTCATCTTCAATTTCTTCTTTAATATCTAGCTTTAAAACACAATTTTTTAAAAAGATTTTATTTTATTTATTTTTCAGAAAGAGAGAGAGACAGAGAACAAGCAGAGGGAACAGCAGGCTGAGGCAGAGGGAGAAGCAGGCTCCCCGCTGAGTGAGGAGCCTGACACAGGACTCGATTCCAGGACCCCGGGATCATGACCTGACCTGACTTAACTGACTGAGCCACCCAAGCATCCCAAAACAAATGTTAAAACTTCATCAGGAGTTTCAAATAAAAGTCAAAGAAATCAGAATATAAATGGAATTATTTAATCTACTTCCTAATAACATGTACTCATTTTACTACCTATTTTTATAAACTTACTAAGAGTTAAAGACATACAGGAGAAACCCTATTTACTTGTTTATTTATACATATATTAATACATAGATACATACACACACACACACCTTTTAGATACTAAGGCCATCTGCCTTCTAATTTTTGTATTTATGTTGCTGAGCTAAGGGCTCTCATATTCCCAATAGCAACATTTACTAGGGGCTCAGGGTGATTTGCTCCCCTTTTAAAATTTTTTATTTTTTGTTTTTAGGGTGATTTGCTTCCTAATGTGCTCCTGATAAAGCAATTCCAATTTCTGGACCCAGACTCCTGCATAGGCAAACTTCTCTATAGGTACTCAAATTATTGAATCGAAGTGAAAAAGACAGAAGGAAAAAGGGGACAGGGACATGATAAAAAAGTAATATATAGGGAGAGAGGCAAGGATTATGTGGTGGGATGAAGATGAGGATAAGGATGATGTAGTTGGTTGAGCAGTGGCCCCGAAATCAATATGTCCAAGTCCTAATCCCCAAAATCTATGAATATGACTTTACTTGGAGAAAAGATCATTGCAGATATAATTAAGTTAAGCATTTTGAGATAAAGTCATCTGAAATTACCCAGATGGGCCCTAAATTCAATGACTAGCATCTAAGAGACAGAACGAGAAGAAGACAGACACAGGAAAGATATCGTGACCAGAGAGGCAGAAATTGGAGTGAAGTGGCCTCAAGTCAAGGAATCCAGCAGCCACTAGAGGCTGGAAGAGGCAAGAGTCTCCCCCAGACCCTCTAGAGGGAATATGGATGGACCTTGACAACACCTTGATTTCAGACTTTTTACTTCCAGAACTATGAAAGAATACATGTCAGTCCCTTTAAGTCCCAGTTTGTGTTAATTTTTTTTTTACAGCAACCCTTGGAAACTAATATCATGAAAAAGACTATTGATATGAGGTCAATTATAAACTCTCCAGAAACTCTTCCAAATGTATTTTGAAAGCATTTGAGTGATGGCAGAATCTAGTGATACAAAGCTTCTTTGAGGATCACTCCCTTTTGGTTATACTTGTGATAACATCTTCTTAGTTTATAGTCATACTGCTTTCACACATTAAGAACAAGTGAAAGAGTATAGTCATCCCTGAGGTTTTATGATTTTTCACTATTATGTGGTCATGTGTAAAACTTATGACTGAGATGGATTCTGTGTTTTTCTGGATTTCATACTTACTCAAACCACAGGTTTGACGTTTGTATAACATTTTAAAAGTGGAACAAGTCTCAGGAAAAAGGATTTAGACCTTTAGACAGGTGGATTTGCTTAAAAATATAAAAAATTACAAGGTAGGAAAAAACAGAGTTCTTTTTCTTTCCCTCTGTCCTCCTGTATTTTTAATGCACACACTTTCTCTGTATAATCCAATCTACATCCAAAGCTTTACCTATGCCTGACACTAATGGCTCCAAAACTCTATCTGCAGCCCAGGCTTCTGTCTTGATGCCCAACACCCAATGGAACAGATAATTTTAAATTTTTTTAAAGATTTTATTTATTTATTTGTCAGAGAGAGAGAGTGAGCATAGGCAGAAAGAGTGGCAGAGGGAGAAGCAGACTCCCTGCGGAGCAAGGAGCCCGATGCAGGACTCGATCCCAAGACACTGGGATCGTGACCCGAGCCGAAGGCAGCCGCTTAACCAACTGAGCCACCCAGGCGTAGGACAGATAATTTTATTTATTGATGAGGACAAAGTACCACTATGTACTACTGTAAAAAAATCCAGATATTATGCAAATAATAACTTTCACAATAATATTATGTTCTATAAATATACTTCAATGTGGAATGTTATATAACAAGTAATACTGCATTAATGCATATCCAGGGAACCATGGAAGGTTTTTTGTTTTGTTTTGTTTTAAGATTATTTATTTCCTTCTTTCAGAGAGTGAGACAGAAAGAGCATGAGCAGGGGGAGCAGTAGGCAGAGAGAGTGGGAGAAGCAGGATCCCCTCTGAGAAGGGAGCCCAATGTGTGGCTCGATCCCAGAAACCTGCAATCATGACCTGAGCCAAAGGTAGACACTTAACTGACTAAGCCACCCAGGCGCCCCAATGGAAGGTTTTATAATGTATTTTTTAGAAAGGGACACCAGTAACAATATTATAATATATAGATATCATACTTATTGCTTTTCTTAAAGTGAAAAATGGCACCAATCCCTTGAGCAAAAATACCACACCCTTTGACTTTCTAATCTCCATTCTAGGGGAATAATCTGTTATACATATATTATCTGAATTTGTCTTACTGGTTTGCCTCATTAGAATACATAAATTAGAATAAAGTCAGCATAGTTATTATACTAGTTTTAAGAAAAACTTATTCATGACAGTAAATATTTCTGAAATCTTTACATTATAAAAGATTTCTGTAGTTTTTATTTTTATAAAAAGACCCTCCAGGTTCTTAAAATTTACTATATAGGAAAAAAAAAAAAGTAAGGCATAATTTTCTTATAGTTTTAGCATTCAGTTAGTCTATTTATATAATTGCCAATGAGTGCCTAATAAAATACACAGGAAATTTTTTCTATCATAACTTTATAAATAAAATCCCATTAGGGAAATGGGTAGAAAATTCTACTAGCAATTCCATTCTGGTACAAATCTGAATGGAAGCCATTTTGTTTTTCCTCTCTGAGCTGAAACAGCTGTTAGTAATCACCCTGAAAGTAAACAAAATAAAAATATACTGTAGAAGACCTAAAAAAGTCGTATAGTTCTATTCCGGTTTTACCCAGAACATAGAATATATGTGACTTTTCCAAGCTTCACAAATACTTCGTGGCAGAGCTGAGATTAGAAATATGTGATGCTCTTTCCATATGCCACTTTATAATTGTCAATGAAAAGATTGCCAATAGAAAAAGACATTGCTAGATTCCAAATTTACCCATATAAATTAGATTATAAATGCAAAGAGAAAAGGGCTGGAAAAAATAATAAATCTTTCAGTTACCAATAACTGAGGTTCACGGTGTTCATCTACAGCTGGAAGTCCAGTTATTATTTCTAATAAAACCTATGAAGACAAAAAAAGTCCATTACTGTAACACTCAAGACAACATTTGAAAAGAATATGGATCTTTTTTTGGTTTCTGTTTTAAATTAACATAAATTGAAGAATATGGATCTTTATTATGAAATCTGATTAATCATTTCCATACATTGCATTATGCCTTTTAGGCATTAAAGCAGGAAGGACTGGACACCTGGGTAGCTCAGTCCATTAAGTGTTCAACTCTTGGTTTCAGTTCTGATCATGACCTCGGTGTCCTGAGATGGAGCCCCGCACTGGGCTCCTTGCTCAGTGGGGAGTCTGCTTGAGAGCCTCTCTCTCTCCCTTTGCCCTTTCCTTCCATTCATTCTCTCTCTCTCTCAAATAAATAAAATATATTAAAAAAGAAAAAGAAAAAGCAAAAAGGACATGAGTTGGTCTTTTCTCACCACCACTCCTCCACAGAAATCTTGGGTTCCACCAATCCCCACAAGCAGTACTTTTCTATTAGCAACTTATTAAATAATCAGCTCCATTCAATATGTGTTCTGGACATTCTTTCTCCTGTCTTGTAGGGGACTCTTCACAAAAATAATTTTCTCTGGGTTTTAGAATATATTATTTTCTAAATTTTAGGCATATCCTACAATTCTGTGCCTTACCTTCACAGTGCTGTGAAGTTAAATTTACATATAGGAAACATATACACAAAATAAGATGAAGTAGAACTTGATTTCTCCAACCACTCCCACTCACTCCATCTTAAAAGTTATTCGGAACAGACCAGTATATCAGAAAATGTCAAAGTGAATGTCTTTTAAAAAATATTTCATTTAGGGATGCCTGGACGCTCAGTGGGTTAAAGCCTCTGCCTTCGGCTTGGGTCATGATTCCAGGGTCCTGGGATCGAGCCCCGCATCAGGCCCTCTGCTCAGTGGAGAGCCTGCTTCCTCCTCTCTCTCTGCCTACTTGCGATCTCTGTCTGTCAAATAAATAAATAAATCTTTAAAAAAATATTTCATTTAAAAAATATGACATTAAAAGTTATGCTGTATGACATGGTTTGTTTTATGCACTAATTTTTTTTTAAAGATTTTTATTTATTTGTCAGAGAGAGAGAGAGCATGTGCACAAGCAGGGGGAATGGCAGACAGAGAAACAGGATCCCGTGAGCAGGGAGCCTGATGCAGGACTCGATCCTGAGACCCTCGTATTATGACCTGAGCCAAAGGCAGATGCTTAAGCAACTGAGCCACCCAGGCATCTCTGTTTTATGCACTAATTTTATGTAAGCTTCATACTAATTCATGAGGATAGTGTAGTAAAAAAGTCATTTCTTGTAGTTACTTCAGAAATCCATTTTAAAAAGTTCCACAGATTTGGAGAAGCTTTTATAACTTTATCATTTAACTAAGGGTTAAAATAAACAACACACGCATTTATATAAGAAAGCTAAGCAAGACAGGTATTCCAAAATATTCTATTTCAATTTCACAGTTATAGCCAAAATGATTATTTTTACTAAATACATATGTGAAACTCACCACACCAAAGCTATAGATGTCAGATTTGGGTGTTATTTCTCCTCGTAGAGCCTCAGGTGCCATATAAGCTGTTGTTCCCACAATTCTGCTAGTCATGACTGTCTGGGAAAACTTCTCAGAAGCCCGTGCAAGCCCAAAGTCAGATATTTTGGCTGTGAAGTCTTTATCTAGTAAGATATTTGCACTGAAAAGAAAAAAATATTTTTCTTTTCAAGCAAGTCAAACAGTTCATATTTATATACATACAGAACATATGTACATAGTTACAGACTATACCATTTTATAATACATATCATAAAAACCTGAAATTCATATAAATAAATCTAGGTTTCAGATTAAAGAAAGAAAAGATCTTTTTCTTTCCCTTTTTGTTTCTTGAGGAAAAATTTTAGGAGAATAAAAATGAAATAAAACTGTCCACATCAGTGAGAGATATTTTCATTATTTCAAAGTAATTTATCACAGGGAAAATTTCCCTTGGTCTCCTAAAGCACCATTCTTATTCCTTTCCTAATATTTCTCAACTCACTTAAAAACATTTTTCCAACCAAAGTGTCTCAATTATTCATTTCTTTATTCTTCTTTTTAAGTTTTTAATTTTAATTCCAGTACAGCTAACATGCAGTTATATTAGTTTCAGGTGTTATTTATTTATTTATTTATTTATTTTGGTACTATCTGAAATCTTTCAAAGAGGAAAGAACATGGTTAAAAGGTCTTCATTTATTCATTACAAGCATTTGCTCATACATGCATAGTTGCATTCAATAAAATTTTTATCAAGGAATCACTATGTATAATAGTATTTAAGCTCAGTCTTGCATGGAGGAGGGATTTTCAAATCTTGTCTATGAAAAAGGTACATAAGTAATTTTTTAAAATCCAATAAATACTCCATAATGGTGATATTAGGTACAAAATGCTGAGGGAACAACCACATGCCTGTAAGAACTGGAGAAAATTCTGAGGAGAGGGTGAACAGTGTGCTTAGTCTTGAAGAATTGTTAGAAGGTGAGGGTTAAATGAGGAGAAAAAAGCCATTTCAGGCAAATAAAGCAACATGTGCAGAGTGATGAAAACATAAAAACATATGATCAATTTCAAGAAACTGGTACCAATGAGGGGTCCCTGGGTGGCTCAGTGGGTTAAGCCTCTACCTTTGGCTCAGGTCATGATCTCAGGGTCCTGGGATTGAGTCCCGCATTGGGCTCTCCGCTCAGCGAAGAACCTGCTTCCCCCTCTCTCTCTGCCTCCCTCTCTGACTACTTGTGAAATAAAACCTTAAAAAAGAAAGAAAGAAAGAAACTGGTGCCAAAAAAACATGGAGAGAATATGAACTTGATCCTGTGAGAGCAGGATGCCAGCAGAAGTTTTCATAGTAAGGAATTGGTGCTATTTGACTTGATTTTTTTTTTTTTTTGAAGATTTTTATTTATTTATTTGAGGGAGTGTGAGAGAGAGAGCATGCACCAGCAGGGAAGGGGCAGAGGAAGAGAGAGAAGGAAGACTGCCCACTGAGCGAGACTTGGGGGTCAATCCTACAACCCTGGGATCATGGCCTGAGCTGAAGGCAGATGCTTAACCCACTGAGCCGCCCAGGTGCCCCTAGACTTGATTTTTTTAAAAAAACATAATCTGGTGGTATCGTAGTGAATAGTTGAGAAGTGGAACAGACTAGGTAAAGGCTGACCAGGAAAGCTTGTATTAAAGCAAATGAGAGACAGTGAGAGTCTGGATAAAGAGAGAACAGTGGAAGAAAAAAAGGAACTGACATTCAATGAACTTTGTAATGAGTATGATGCAGGGAATGAGAAAGTCCTTAGCTTGGGAGACAGGAGGAATAGTGACTTCATTTGACCAGGAAGGGAATATGGGAAGAAGACTTCGGTTTAGAAGAGAAAATGAATTTTATTTCTGATATGTTAACTTAGAGGCTTCTGTGGGACACAGAGGCAAGGTGTTTTTGGTCTGGAGATACTTAAAATATAGGATCGGAGACTGATGATACAGATTTGATGTCACCCACACATAGATAGCAGGTGAAGTCAATATAGTGTCAGCAAGAACACTTTGTGGGAACAGAAGAGACAGGAGGTGAGAACAGGAGGAAATACGCCAATATGTAAGGGATGAGAGACTGTGCTGTCCTCTCATCTATGGCTGATCCCTTTACTTGGATTCCTTCCTATGTTCTCAAGAACCTCACTCCATAAATTATTTTACTTCTCTCTTCTATTTTATCATCTCCCTTTTCCCATAGGCATAAAAACATGCTTTAGTCTCTGCCATCTTAAAAAAAGTTTCCTGAATGACACATTATTTCCAGCAATCACCCTTCACTATCTAAATATCATAAAAGACTTGTCTACACTCACATTTCGGTGCTCTAGCTCCCACTCTCTCCTCAAATACATCCTGAATTCTGACCAGTTTCTGTGCAGAAGTAGGGCTCTGTAAAGATAGGGATGCTCTTCAGAGCACTCACCAAATGGTGATTTTTCAGTCTTCACCCTGACCTCTAAAAAGCAACTGACATTTATTTGACTAGTCTGTTTTGGGAAATACTCTTTTTCCTCATTTTCACAGATACCACACTCTCCAGGTTCTCATCTGACCTTTCTGTGCCTACTTTCTTAGATTCCTTTTTGAAATCATTCTCTTCTATTTGGCCATTAAGTCTGAAAGTTCCTTAGAACTAAATCTTGGGACTTTTCCTAATCTCTATCTCTCCTTAAGAGACTACAATCATATAATAGGTCTTCAGTTATCAACTATATGTAATGCACAAATTTATATCTTCAGCTCGGACTTTTTCAGCTCCATATCTGTATATGACACTAACATTTCTACTTCTATAAATTTTATTTATTTATTTGACAGAGAGAGAGATCACAAGTAGGCAGGGAGGCAGGCAGAGAGAGGGGAAAGCAGGCCCCCCGTTGAGCAGAGAGCCTGACGTGGGGCTCGATCCCAGGACCCTGAGATCACGACTCAAGCTGAAGGCAGAGGCCTAACCCACTGAGCCACCCAGGCGCCCCTCCACTTCCATATCTTAAAAGAATCTTAAGCACAACATGTACAAAAGAGATTTCACATTCTCAACTGTCAACCTAGTCCTCTTCCAGTGCTTTCTATGTAAGTGAATCATGCCACAATCATCCCAGAATGCAATTCAGGAAGCTAGAAATCCAGGAGTCATTCCTGACATGTCCCTCTTTCTGATCCTTCTGCAGCCGAGATATCAGCACGTCCTCCCATCTTATTTTTTTTTCAAGATTTTTAAAAATTTATTTGAGAGAGAGTGAGAGCAAAAGACAGTGAGCTGAGCAAGTGAGAGAGGACATGAGTGGGGGGAGGGGCAGAAGGAGAGGAAGAAGCAGGCTCCCTGCTTGGGGCTTTATCCCAGGATCCAGGGATCATGACTTGAGCCGAAGGTAGTTGCTTAACCGACTGGGACACCCAGCACCCAGTCCTGCCATCTTAATCTCTCAAATCTGTTCACTTCTTTTGATAATGAACTACTACCACCACAACTTCTGTAATAGCCTCCTAACCAACCCTTCCTACAAACTGTTCTCTACATTCAAGTCAAAGGGATCTTCTCCAAACTTAAACACGATGCCACATCTCTACTTGTAATTTTTCAGTGACATCTGATTATTACATTTATAATAAAACTAAAGTCCTTAGTCTATTAAATCCTACAGGTTTAGCTCCAGGCTGACTTCTATAATTTTATTTTATATCAATTATTCCTTTAATTTCTGCATTTCAGTTATACTGTATTCATTTCACTTCCAAAAATTTATCTATGCTTTCATGTTCCCTCTCAATACTGGTCTTAAAAATGCAGTCCCTTCTGTCTAGAATGCTTTCTCCCTACCTTCTGTAGTTACCCTCAAATTGTACCGACTTATTTCCTACTCATTCTTTGGATCTCTGCTAAAATATCACTTCCTCAGAGAACTCTTGTTTATGCTAATACTGTACATTAAACACTATATACTCCTTATTAATTTTCTATTATTAGTGATCATTTGATTGATGTCAAACACTACAAGTGCTACTTTTGCTAACTATATTATCTACAGTGCCTAGCACATAGTAGGTGCTTAATTAATATTGGCTATTTATGCAAGAAGAAAGAAAATTGAAATGCACCCATGAAGGATGACAGTGATTCAGAAAACAGTGGTGATCCAGAAAATAATTTTGACAAGGCAAAAGTAGTCAAGAGAAACAAAATGTCATGCTATTTAAAAAAAGATCATGTAGGATGAGTACTAAAAATAGCTATGTGGGTTTCGAGTAAAGGAGATTATAGATGTTTTAATGAGAAGAGCTTTCAAGGAGTACTGTAAGTTAAGAAATGCATATGAAATTTGAATAGGAAGAGTGAGAGCAAGTTATTCTACGAAGACGGTTTTCCAAAAACATTTTTTAGAGTAGCATTTACCTTTTAATGTCTCTATGAATATGATGGTTTTCATGTAAAAAGTTGATGCCATTAGCTGCATCTTGAGCAATCTTGCATCTCATATGCCAAGGGAGTGGTGGAGTATCATCCTTATGAAGTAACCAACCCATTAAAAAAAAGGATAAAAAATCTATAGAAAATATATAACAGAACATTTTTCCAAGCAACTACTGAAAACGATATTATATCACCAAGAATTTTGGATTGTAATTTTTAAAAAATTATCCAAAAATAATCTCTAAGTAAGATCAAGTCAGAGTCAGCATTTCTTATTTGGCAATAAAAATATATAGGAGCACCTCCAAAGATTTGTCTTGACTGGTAATTTTGTATTTAAGATTATCACCTTACAGAATAGCAATCCCAGTTGTTTATCTATCAACCATATAATTTTCAAAGAGCAGGAAAAATATTAAGATTAATGTGGTTTAAATAATCTTGTCACAAGGTGAATATTAGTATTCCAATACATAAACAGAAAGCCAAACAATCTGATGAACAAATATCTTACCAAGCAAGACAGCCTGTCTAGCAACGAGCCATTGGGCATATAAACATAGACTAAGCAGAGGTCATCTCCATCATTTGAGAAACCAAGCAGTTCTACTAAGTTCTCATGTTGACACCTACGACAAATAATTTGCCACTCAAAATTATTATGACACATACATATATTCAGCTGTTGGTTGGAGGTTATTCAATTTAGAGCTTTAACAGAAAAAAAGCACAGGAAAATAATGATATGCTATATATATTATGATACATATGTTTGTAACATGTTTATTAGTTTATTGTAACCATTTACAATTTTCTGTAGTTCTTTGTCAATACTGATCAACATTAGAAGAAAATCCTTTTTCTATTTTATTTATTTAAGTAATCTCTACTCCCAGCATGGGGCTTGAACTCACAACCCTGAGGTCAAGAATCAAATGCTCTTCTGAGAGCAACTGAGCCAGCCAGGCACCTCCTATTTCTATTTTATAGTAAAAGCTCAATAATTTAGAGCTTTGAAACTTGTGATAGTTTGGTTAAGGATTGGCCTGATAATTACCTTTGTGTAGTACAATTTTCAATGATAGTTTTACAGGAAAGATTTCAAGAAGTCTGTTGAAACTGCTATGACAACCCTTTCAAGAATTTTCTAACATATCCAAAGCACTGATTTATAGACATCTGATCTCTAACTACATCTAATTTGTACATAGTTGATCTTTAATGATATCTTATTATTTATAACCTAATTTGAGTTTTATCTACTTGAAAGGAATAAAACTAAAGAGAGCTGAACTATAACAAAACCTTAGGTATCTGTGGTAGGGTAGAAAGAAAACTGGGCAAAGTCTAAGTTTAAAGTTCAGCTCTGCCGCTCCCCGCCCCCCCCCCCCCGGATATTTGACTTATAGGCCAAATTAACACTTAACAAGTTAACATCTCGCTGAGCCTCAGCAACTTCACCAAATGTGGATAATAACCCCTACGATGTAACATGGATGCTGTGAGAATTGAACGAGCAAATAGATGAGAGCCTAGAAATATACTTCAAACATGATATGCATTCCATCCAAGTGCTTACTCACTTTGAGTATTGATATACTTTGTTGATATAAAATCATCTAAAATTCTGGGATTTCATGATTTCAAATCAGACTTTAATTTGAAATCAGTCTATCCTCATAAATATTTTAAGAAGTACAAATTAAAACAAATAAGTACTCTATTTTCCATCAAACTGGCACATTTTATTTTATTATTTTTTTTAAATGGCACATTTTAAAAACGAATAGGTAACATTTCCTGAGTTTGCACTACATAGAAGGCACTGTGGTAAGTGATTTACCTGCTCTGTTTTATTTAATCCTCACAATAACTTAATGAAGTAGACACTATTATTATCCCATTTTATAGATGAGAAAACTAATAGTTAAGAAACTTGGCTGGGGTCATTCTGCTGGTAAGATCCAGAAATTGGTACTTATTAAGAAACAGTAAGAATATTCAATGGTGGTAAAGTAGCAGTGAAATTCAAATTGTAATACATTGCTGATAGGCTTGTAAATTACCATAATTTATTTATAAGGCCATTTGGACATGTACTTGGAAAGTTTTTAAGAAGTTCATGCGTTCTGAACCAGTGATTCTTCTAGCATTCTACCTGATAAAATAAGCAGAGTTGCATTTAAAGATTTAGATACAAGGAGATTTAAAGGAACTTTAATTTGTAATGTTGAAAATTAGAAACAAAGCTAGGAGGGTACTGGTTTAGTAAAATATAATCATATATGCTGAATAATTAATATACAATACTGTAAATTAAAACTAATAGACTAACAAAATGTTTTAAAATTATTTTTAATGATATGGGAAAAAAGCTACACACACATCATGAAGCAAGTACCTCAAAATATTAGCCATGGCTCACTCTGAGTGATATATTTAAGAGACACTTTTTATTATTTCTCTACTTTGAACAAATTACTTTTAGGATTGCAGAGTGACGGGGGAAAAAATCCCCAAAGAAAGAGGCTTTTCTTTTTTTTAATCAGTGTGCATTATTTTTACTATGACTGAATTCCAGTCTATTATTTCTGTCTTGAGGTTAAGCAATCACAATTCATAATTTATAGCAGTGGGTGCAATTGAGTGTAAAACTGGTAAATTTCATCAGGATTCATATCAATAATGTTGTAAGGTGACAGATGGGGACTATACGTATTGTATTGTGGTGAGCACTGAGTAATGCATAGAACTGCTGAGTTGGCATGTTATACCTGAAACTAATATTAACATTGTATGTCAATTACATTTCAGGAGTTTAAAAAAATAAATTTAAGAAAACGAAAAAGAAAAAAGCTCAGGCTCTGGCATCATATGTGTATGTCCGTAACTACATTTCTGTAGGGATAGGATACAGGTCTGGATAGAACTGATTTTTTACTGGCTATGTGGCCTTGGGCAAGTTACATAATGTATCTAAATCTCATGGAAAAAAAAAAAAAGGTAGGGGAGGTTATAATAACTGTTATGAAATTAAATGAGACCAGACACATAAAATACACTGCACTACAATTATCAGAATAGAATCCTGATTTGTTTCTCTCACTCTTCCTGATACCCAATAACTGTCAAGTGCACCGGATCCATGTCTTCTAAGGACACTGGCATACAAGTTTTCCCTGGTTTAGGGTTGCTAACATATCTAAGGGCCAATAATTCTGTATTTTATTTTTTTGTACCTCTGTAACTTATTTCTCATGAATTTTGGGAGCCACAAAGATGATAATGGAAGATAGTTGAAATCCTTTGGAACTTTGCTCTGATGTAAAGTAACAAGTGCGATTTAAGCTCCAGGCATGTGAATATATGTAGTCACAGACTTGTAGAATCAAAATTCCTTCAATTCCTCTCATCTAAACCCTTTAGTTTAATTCTACATATCTGGAAATATCACTAGTTCATGGCACACTCTGGGTGAGAAACCAGGTCTCCTACTCCTTGAGCTGCTCTTTTCCACTCTACTACGTTGTCAAATTAACTTACTTTGCCATAACTTTTATTTCTTGATCAAACTGCTGCCTCAGTTCTTCAGTACTAATGTCAACCATCTGAAAAATAAAATATATAATACAATACAATAACCTCAAAGCTCTTAAAGCTAAAAGGAGGTGCAAAAGATGGCTTGGCTGATCTTGCTTTCTTTAAAATGTAAGGCATTATTCTCCCCATTTTACAGAATAACTGAGAACTAGAAATATAAATGATTTGTTCAAAGTCCCATGGCTAGTTAGTGGAAGGAAAAAAACCTTATAAACCATATAACCATAAAAACCTCACTGAGTTAATATAGAAACAAAATGAAATAATATGAGACGCACTCTGAAGAAAACATTTGTTGTAACAGAAAACATAAACAAATTTGAAGGGAAAAAGACAAATAAAATCTACAAAATATTTGTAACATATATGACAACAGGTGACTATCTTCATCATATAAATGTATATTATATGGATATTTCTAGAATATAATAACAGAGTTATAATATAACAAATCAAGTACACGGTGAACAGTCTAGGAGAAATGGGAATGAAGGACTTAGACAAGAATTTTTTTTAATCTTTTTTTTTTTTTAAAGATTTTATTTATTTATTTGACAGAGAGAGATCACAAGTAGGCAGAGAGGCAGGCAGAGAGAGAGAGAGAGGAGGAAGCAGGCTCCCTGCTGAGCAGAGAGCCCGATGCGGGACTCGATCCCAGGACCCTGAGATCATGACCTGAGCTGTAGACAGAGGCTTAACCCACTGAGCCACCCAGGCGCCCTTAATCTTTTTTATTATATTTTTTAAGCTTATTTTTAAATGAGAAAAGTAACATAAGAAAGTTGTTTTTACAAAATTTTCTTAGTATCTTCCCATTTTCATCTTGATTATGCATGAAGCACTATGTAGAACAGGGCTTCTTAACTTCATTTTGTGAATCTTCTGGAATTACATGTGTACTCATATGTGTATGCCCATAACTACATTTCTGTAGGGACAGGATCCATAGCTTTCAAAAAATTTTTAAGTGTTAGGAACTACCAACTTAGAATGATGTTTAAAGAAAACATGCACTGAAATAATATATTTCCCAAAGATTAATTTAAAACTTACAATATAGCACACCAGGAAGCAACTTTTCCTTTAATTCTTTTTACCCCTAAACATATAACTTACCGCTGCAAGTTTCTTCACTGCTACAGTTTTGTTGTTCACGTAGCCTTTATATACAACTCCAAATCCTCCCTCTCCCATCTTGTTGCCACCGAGAGAAATGGGTCTCTCATCAAAGTTATTTGTGACATTCTTCAATTCATAAAATGAAAAACTGTGAAAACCTATAATGTCAATAAAATAAGGAAAAACTACTTTGATAAAAAAGATATTGGTTTTAATAACCTTAATATTTTTTCAACTTGATTATTTCATATATATGCAAATATTTACAACTTTGGATTAGGCATGATAGGAGAGAGTACAGCTATCTTTTAAAAATAAAAATTTAAGCTTCATCTTGAAAATTCTGCCTGGTGATCCTCCACCCAAAACTCTAGTCACTTATTTTCTTTATAAAATGACCCATTCTGTCTTTCTTTCTTTCTTTCCTTCTTTTTTTTTTTTTTAAAGATTTTATTTATTTATTTGACAGAGAGAGAGAGAGAAAGCACAAGCAGGGGGAGTGGCAGGCAGAGAGAGAAGCAGACTCCCTGCTAAGCAGGGAGCCTGATGCAGGACTCCATCCTAGGACTCTGCGCTCTTAACCTGAGCCAAAGGCAGACGCTTAACCAACTGAGCCATCCAGGTCCCCTAAAATGACCTTTTCAAGTTATGTAAATATTTACACAACTTGTCATACTTCTGCGGTTGTTTGTATATCCTATTGTCTGTACTCACTGATAACACACTGACTAATACAATGATGACGGTGCTTAGTAAGTCAGGAGAGAAAAAAGAAAAACCCCAGAAGAGCTATGGCCAGGGTAACTGGGTGGCTCAGTCATTTAAGTGTCTACCTTCAGCTCAGGCCATGATCCCAGAGTCCTGGGATCAAGCCCCATGTCGGTTCCTTGCTTAGCAGGGAGCCTGCTTCTTCCTCTCTGCCCCTCCCACGGCTTGTGTGCTCTCTCTCAAATAAATAAATAACATCTTAAAAAAAAAAAGCTATGGCCAGTGTGCACACAAAAAAGGAGAGATTTATTTCAAAGCAACGGTGGTTTTAATGACAAACCCACTAGCAGAAAGCACTGCAAATGTTACTTACGTGTATCACTACCTTCTAAACTTGGATTTTCTGGACTTGAGGAGTCAGGTGGCATAGAATTTTGTTCAAGATTCTGCACAGGTAACACAAATGTCCTGTCTTTGCCATAGAGAGGCAACTGTTTCTGCTGAACCGTTACAGCTTCATTAGAAGGTAGTGTATTAACTGTTTTGGGAACAGCATCTGCCAAATGAAGTAAGATACATGTTGTCCTTCCATAAGAAAAAGTGTTTATGAAAAAGTTAAACTAGGAATTCAGTTCATTTGATGTCATTCCCATTTCCACAGATTTAAACCTCCTTTTCTCACAGCACACACAAGAAGCTACCTAGTAAGAATTTGTAAGTTTTGGATAAAGACGAGTAGAAAGGGTAAGGTGGTGTTTTCAAAAAAATCTATGGGCCACCTACATCAGAAGCACTGAAGTGTTTGTTTAAAAACATTGGCCTTAACGCAAGTCAAGAATTCTGATAATGAGGTCTGGAATACAGCCAGGAATCTACACACAAAATAGTGAGAACTGCTTGAGTAAATGGCATCAAAGGGAAAAAATAAGGTTATGAGGAAGGCATCTAGACAGTGACCCAACAGAATACAATGTAGGGAAATCATGGTCACAGATCCCATTGGAGTAGAGGTTGAGGATGAAAAAAAGAAAGAGCTAAAAAAAACAAAAACAAAAACAAAACCAACCCCCAAAATAAAACACCCTCACAAAACACAAAAAAACCCACAAAAACCCAAAAAACTAATTTCCGTCCTTCTAAACTTCCTACTGGCACAAAACTCCCTGACTTGAATGGTGGGCTCAGACTGAATCATGAAGCGTCTATCTCCTTAGTCGCAAGTCCGCAGTGCCTTATGTCTAAGGTGCTTGTATGAGTTAGGGAGCGTGGAAAGAATGAAAAGCAGTCTCAAATGTAAGGCTCATCTACCAGGAGAAAAAAGCAAGAGTAGGGAGACATGTTCTATTTCTGCCACTTGCCTTTCCACCCTAGTTGTTGATGCCCTACTCACACTCCGTTTACCTGGTAGCAAAAGACTCGCTGCGGCAAAAAACTCATTTTGAATCAAAAGATCCACAAGATCACCAACTGTGCAATTTGTGGTGCCCCAGTCAAACAGTAATTCACAAGTGGGGCTTTTTCCAGTTTGAAGTAATGCTTCAAATCTCCTTAAAAGCAAGTGACAAAAACCCAAAATTAGTATGCAATAGACTTCACTGAAAATAGGAATTATTCCCCCGTGCTCCCGCCTCGCCCACAGTACCTCCTACAGCATTAAAGGAAAGGGGCAGCATGAAAACCAGCAAGAATTACAGAGAACCGGGAAGACAGGCAGAAAGGAAAAAGATGCTGAAGGTGATGATACTGTAAGTTAACATCCACTGAATACTTACTGAGTGTCTGCTCAGGGGGCCACAGGATGCACTCACATGAACTCATTTAATTCTCAAAGATACTATGGATACAACACTCATTTATTAATAAGAAAGGAAGGTGTGGAGAGGTCAAGTAACCAGCCCATAGTCATACAGCCAAAACACTGTTTTTAAACTGAGATCCAAATTCAGCTCTCTCGCCTGACATAAGGGTGTGTTTTCAACCTACTGAGCCGTATTACTTCCCTACCTGTTTTATGACTCTGCTGGCCATAGGATTTTTTTAATAAATCATTCTCCTTAATGAAACAGAATACTATGCATAAACTTGGAGAATTATTCCTTTGATCCTTACTATATTTCAATTACATTAAGGAAAAACAGATTAGTTTTTCATTCTTCTTCAAAAATTCATTTGAAAAGTAACATTTAAAAAAAACAATTTTTTCTGCTTTGCCTCCAAATTTTTTATGTTGCAAAATTTCAAACTTACAGAAAAGTTGTAAGAATAATACCATGAAAAACGGTTTCCCTTTCACCTAGATACACCAACTGGCCAGTGGATAACACTTTGCCACGCTTGTATTCTTGCCTTCTCCCTCTCCCCGTGTGTATGTGTGTGTGTGTGCATGCATACATGTTACAGTAAGCTAAACACCCTGTAGAATGTCTCATAGTCTAGACTTGTCTGGCTACTTTCTCATGATTAAATTCAGGTTAAAAATGTTTGGTAAGTGGGGCGCCTGGGTGGCTCAGTGGGTTAAGCCTCTGCCTTTGGCTCGGGTCATGATCCCAGGATCCTGGGATCGAGCCCCGAATTGGTCTCTCTGCTCAGCGGGGAGCCTGCTTCCCCCTCTCTCTCTCTTTGTCTGCCTCTCTGCCTGCTTGTGACCCCTTTCTCTCTCTCTCTCTGTCAAATATATAAATAAAAAATCTTAAAAAAAAAAAAAAGTTTGGTAAGAACACTACCTAGGTGACGTGTTCGTCCCACTGTACCGTACCAGACCCACATAATGCAGTCTGTGCCATTATCAATGACCCAAACTTTGATTACTTGGTTAAGGAGGTGTACTTCAGATCTTTTTCTTTATAAAAGTACCTTTACCCTTCATAATTCATAAGTAACCTGTGGATAATGCTTTGAAATCCTGTGCATATCTTGTTCATCAACAACTTTTTATCTTGTGGTATTAGCAACGCTGATGAGTCTTGCATGGGCGATTGTAAACTGGTAACTTTTTATAAATCTTTCAATAATTATTTGCCACCATTATTCTGTAGAGAAGAGCTTTTTCTCCTCACCACCATTGCCTCCACTATTCTCCAAAAGTTTTTAATAGCAGTATCAATAAATTATCTTTGAAAGTTGCTTTCAACTTAATCTGCCTCTTTTTAAGATTTTATTTATTTATTTGTCAGACAGAGAGAGGGAGAGAGAACACAAGCAGGGGGAGTAGCAGGCTGAGGGAAAAGCAGGCTCCCCGCTGAGCAAGAAGCTGATTATGGGACTTGATCCCAGAACCCTGGGATCGTGACCCAAGTCAAAGGCAGATGCTTAATGGACTGAGCCACCCAGGCATTCCAAAATCTAAATTTCTTTCAAGTAATTTAAGATGTTTATCCTTCATATGAGGAAATGTTTCCTGGAAGGACTAAGATGGGAGTTAAGGCTTTGGGATCTTTATCAGGTTAATGCTGAAAATCACAAAATAATGTCTTTTCTTCTTACATCCAAACACAGATTTGGGGCTAAAATTTGGGTTGAAATCACTGACAAAAATAAAACCTGTACACACATTTTATAGTAAATCAAGCAGAGATAAACAGAGATGAAGAATGAGATCGTCTGAAGACAGTGTTGTAAAATCGTCACTAAGACCTGAGACTTCCATTCACAGATGTGTATATTTACAAGCAACTTTAAAACGTCAATTTGAAGTACACTGTCAAGGGAAGTAGAAATTTACACACTTAGATTTTTACTAGAGATTCTTATAATACCCTTATGTTCAATCTGGATGTGACAAGTGTGAGCCTGAGGAAAATTTCTCAGCTTGCTAAACAGAAAACTAGAGTAAAAGTGGGAATCTTGATTCTAACCCAAAAACTTATTTTCAAGATCACAACACTAGCCTAGCTGACATAATGGAGAAAGAACCAAAAATTGCAAAAATGGAAAAAAAGAGGTTACTTATTAGCATTATTTTCCCCTTGATAGAGTTTTATTTTCTGAATTGCAACATTAGATGATATTTATATCTATTAGTCATTCCAGATTGTGATGTAAGAATTTAAAAAGGAAGAGAATTTTATACGTTACCTTATGTGAAACTGATTGTATCTATCATCACCAGATGGTTTTTTAATAGCTACCGCTAACTTCTTCCATCCTTCTTGAGGATCAATAAAATCTGACAGCTTCCTAATTAGTCCAAGATTGAGGCAGCGCACATATGTTGAAGATGTTATGGGTTTGTTCATCTTCTATTCCTAAAATACGGAAAATTCTCATTAAAATTTTATGGTAGTTTTAGGGATGACATCTGTAAGCTTATAAATCACATTTTGCTACAATATGTGAAATGTCGGCAACTGATTACACCATAATAAAGGAACACTCCAAAGTCAACTAATTGATTTTTTTTTTTTTTTTGACAGAGATCACAAGTAGGCTGAGAGGCAGGTGGTGGAAGAGCAGGGGAGCAGGCTCCCTGCGGAGCAGGGAGCCCGACGTGGGGCTCGATCCCAGGACCCTGAGACCATGACCCAAGCCGAAGGCAGAGGCTTTAACCCACTGAGCCACCCAGGCACCCCAACTAATTGATATTCTAAGAAGAAATTAAAATTATGGTATATTGGGGCACCTGGGTGGCTCAGTGGGTTAAGCCTCTGCCTTCAGCTTGGGTCATGGTCTTAGGGTCCTGGGATCGAGCCCCACGTCAGGCTCTCTGCTCCGCGGGGAGTCTGCTTCCCTTCCTCTCTCTCTGCCTGCCTCTCTGCCTACCTGTGATCTATGTCTGTCAAATAAATAAATAAAAAAAAAATCTTTTAAAAAAATTGTGGTTTATTTGTCTAATTGTCGTCTGGTCTTAGTTTTTTTCTCTATAATTATCCATGACAAATTGAAGAATTATTTTTCTGACATTTCTGAAGTGCAATTTATACAAAGAAGTGAAAAATTCACTTTTTCAGAAAATTCCTGAAAATTCAGATGATATTCAGGAATCAATTCTATTCATAAAATATTTATTTTTCAATTAAAAATATTTTTCTCAATCAGTATTTATTTAAACATTTGCCAACACTCTTTGGTAGAAGTAAAACAATGAAATAACTAAAAGATATGGTAAATAACTAACTTTTCTTATCACTTTGAGTTCAACAAAACTGTCTGATAATAATTCATTCCCTACTAAGCCAAACCCTGTGGTTTACCACCTTAACTACACTCTAGAGAACACCTTTATTTCCTCAGTCCCCTATTTCTTTTGCCACTCCACCCTGGAGAGTGACAGCCAGGGATACATTTCACAATTCTACTTGTACACAGGCACTGCTGAATATAGGTATAGAGAATTAGATAGCTGAGCAGAATGGTATGAACGCAAATTTATGGAGACCCTCTTTTCATGCAGCCTTCAACACTGCTGTGAATCCTGTTGCCTTTGCTCATTGTCCTTAGTGACTATTTCATGCCTTTACCTCTCTCCATGTGGTTTTATTTGACCTCCATGCTTCTCATTCTCATCAAGTGGCAACCTTTTGTCTAATTAATCAAGACAGGGATTCAGATATTCTTCTGTCAATTATTCTTCTTATTCCCTCTGTACTTTTATCTTTAAAATGTAACATAATTAATCTTTGGAGTAAAGGATATATTTATGTGGTACAAAATTCAGAAGCTATAAAAGAGTAAAAAAACCAAAATGTCACTCTGTATTGTAGGCTTCCATATTTGTATTCTCTTCTCTTTGGCCTTCTTTGACCACCACATCTAAGTAGGTCTATCTGCCTTCAACCCAATTATCTTTCACCACTGCACAATGTAATGTAATCATGTATTTATTTGCTTGTTTATTATCTGCTTCCCCCTTTAGACTGCAAGCTCCATTACTCCATTTCATTTGTTAATAGGTAACTACTGATAAGCGACTTGTACATATTACTGGTAAGAGTTAAGAATGAATGAATTTGTTGTCGAGTACCATGCTAGTTGATTCATTTATTTCACTTTAGTCCTTAAATTGATGAAGGCAATTTTAACATCTTTACTTCACAAATACAGTAAATGAGAGTTGGACTTGAACTCATATCTGACTCCAAAATTCATTCCATAGGTCCCTAGTTTTATAACTCAATGCACTGTGCAAGTCACTCTCTTTTCTATACAAAAACAAGACATTTCCTTTCATTTATTCATATGTTCAATGTATGTCAGGCTCTGTACTAAGTGATGGGAGCTACAGAAGGGAGAAAAAAATCTTTATTTTCAAGCTTCTCAGTCCAGCAGAGGATATGAATAATTACAGTGAGTGATAAATGTTCCAAGTGGTGTGTGCAGGGTGTGGAGGCCCAGTAAGCATGGAGCCTAGGCAGTCTGAAGGAAACATACCAAGACAGATCTGGGTGGGGAGAGAGATTGGAAGGATGAGTGAAAAGGAATGAGGATCAACCTAAAAGGAAATTCCAGGCAGTAGGAATAGCACCAAGAACATTGATTAGGCCCAGGCAAGGAGTTTGATCTCTGTCTGTCAAATAAATAAATAAATAAATAAACCTTTTAAAAAATATATTTTATTTATTTATTTAACAGAGAGAGACAGAGAGATCACAAGTAGGCAGAGAGGCAGGCAGAGAGAGGGGGAAGGAGGCTCCCTGCTGAGCAGAGAGCCCAATGTGGGACTCGATCCCAGGACCCTGAGATCATGATCTGAGCTGACGGCAGAGGTTTAACCCACTGAGCCACCCAGGTGCCCCAAAAAATAAATAAATCTTAAAAAAAGAAAAAAAGTACTTATGAACCATGGAGGTAAGGAGAAAACTAGGACAATAGCATATCAGAGATTTCTAGAAAGGGTGATAGGTTGGTATATAAGACCCAGAGAGGTCCAATAAACACTGAGTGTGTTAGATTTGGAAAGTGGGTGGCTTAAGAAAAGTTTTAATGACTCAGTGAGTGAATGGTAAAAATGCATTTTCTAAGAAATATGGCTTTGAAGGGAAGGAGAGGGAAGGCATCAGTTCTCAAATTTGGTCTCGATAACCTTTACACTATCAAAAATTTCTATAGAAGCCAAAGAGCTTTTGTTTATGTTGGTTATATCTACAAATAATTACCTTATTAGAAATTGACACTGAAAAATTTAAAAATTAGTTATTCACTAACTGATTAAAAATAAGGAATATAGGGACGCCTGGGTGGCTCAGTTGGTTAAGTGGCTGCCTTCAGCTCAGGTCATGATCCCAGCGTCCTGGGATCGAGTCCCACATTGGGCTTCTTGCTCGGCAGGGAGCCTGCTTCTACCTCTGCCTCTGCCTGCCACTCTGTCTGCCTGTGCTCGCCCTCTCACTCTCTCTGACAAATAAATAAATAAAATACTCAAAAAAAAATTTAAAAAAAGGAATATACTACCTGTTAGCATATATATTTTGATAAAAATAACTACATTCTCCAAAATAAAAAGAAGAGTGACATTATTTTATAGTTTTGCTAATCTCTTTTTTAATATTCAGCTTAATAGAAGATAGCTGGATTCTCATATCTGTTTTTGCATTTACTCTGCTGCATTATACTGATTTGGTTGACACATATGAAGAAAATCCATAGATTTTGGATTTGGATTTTGGAAACGGAATTTTAATACTTTTTTCACAAAGTAGTAGATACTTCTCTTTGACACTATAGTGAAACTTGATAAAAGAGAATTTCCTAACAGCTGCAATGTGAAATCTGAAACCGTATCAATGAACTTCGTTTCATTAAAATCCACTGTACTCTGAATGAATCTTTTACCCGTAAGTGATTTTGACTCTATGAATCTCTTGAAAGTGACTTGGGGACCCCAACCATGCCCTTAAAACTCCTGGTTTAGGATTTGTTTTTAAGAGTTAAACTTGGTTGAGGACACAAAAGGGATAGTGAACAGAGTATATGTCAAGACGTCAGCCTTGAACTGAAGGAAAATTTTTCTTCCAAATCTATTAAGAGGGGTTTGGATACAGACATATTTGAAGGGAGAGGGAGAACTCCCACACAGCGTTATTTTCTTGGTGAAGCAGGAGGTGAGGTCACCTAGTGCTAGGTAAAAGAACTGCCCTATCACCTGGAGGGTCACTGGGCAAATGCCTATGATTTCTTCAAGCTCAATGCAAAAGGTACTGTTGGCTTTCCCTGAGAGTCATATCTTTTGCTCCAAACTGTCACCAGTCATTCTTCTAGGATAACAGTTAACATACTTTATTGTTTATGTGTCTGCCTTCTCTTTTATTTTTTTTTTAAAGATTTTATTTATTTATTTGACACAGACAAAGATCACAAGTAGGCAGAGAGGCAGGCAGAGATAGAGGGGGAAGCAGGCTCCCTGCCTAGCAGAGAGCCCGATGCGGGGCTGGATCCGAGGACCCTGGGATCATGACCTGAGCTGCAGGCAGAGACTTTAACCCACTGAGCCACCCAGGCGCCCCTGCCTTCTCTTTTAGATGGTGTGTTCTCCTAAGCAGAGACCCAATCAAATTGGGCTTTAGCAACTACTTAAAATATTGTGTTGAGTGAGAGAAAGACTTTTTTTTTTTTAAATTAAGAAATTATATCTGCCTATAGACTTTGCAGTGGCTCCGTTCACATTATTTTTCTTTATTTACTCAGATTTCTCTCCATTTTAACAAGTACAATGTGATTGACAAAACTAGTAGAAGGAGGACTGCTTGGTAATCCTAAAGGCTAGAACTAAATTACAGGAAATTGAGAATAAAAAGTCTGTCTTAGGACCAGAAATAAATTCAGTACCTTTCCTATATACAGATTTCTAGCAGAGGTGACGGCATAGGGCTACCAAAAAAAAAAAAAAAAAAAAAAAAGGAAAGCCTCTGACAACTCCTCTCTCTATATATGTCTTTAAGTTCTAAATCTCAGAATTTAAAATTTTACTTTAAACACACATTCATATATCACCACACACATATTTGGAAGAATATGCACTAAAACATTAACTGTGATTATCTCTTCATGGTGACTTTTAGGAGAGTTTTGTTTTCACTTGCTTTCTGCATTTTCAATAAAAAAAAAAGCTACTGTAGAGAAAAAATGAAAAAGTATCACTTCTTTCAAAGCATTCAAGACACTGGGAGATGGAGAAGAGAAGTGAGTTGGGAGAAATTGGAGGGGGAGACAAATCATGAGAGACTGTGGACTCTGAGAAACGAACTGAGGGTTTTGGAGGGGGACAGTGGAGGGGTGAGCTTGGTGGTGGGTATTATAAAGGGCACGTATTGCATGGAGCACTGGGTGTGGTGCATAAACAATGAACTTCAGGACACTGAAAATAAAATAAAATTAAATAAAATTTAAAAAATTAGTGTGCTTAGGATTAATACAAGGAGAAAAAGATATATTGCTTACAAATAAATAAATAAATATCTTCATGACTTTTCTCACACCATTAATTCTCATGGTGACCATTCATATTTTCAAAGAAGACAACTCAGACAAGAACAAAGATAAGATGATAATTGAGAAATATACTAAAACAAATGTTTCCTTGTGGAAATCAATACTTCTTACTCATATGGATGTTCTCAAAAAGACAAAGTACTGTGCCCCAAATGGGAAATAAAAGATTTTTGTCAAATGAATTAATGAAGTTTTAAGACTGATTCATTAGCACTCTGATCAGAGGAAGAGAGTATAGAGGGGAGGAAGAAGTTGCATGGGTCTGGGTTCTAATGAAGCTCTTCCACAAACCAATTATGACCAGACTAAATAACTGAATTTCCTTAGATCTTGTTTTTTTAATCTGTAAAACAGAGATGATAATACCTAAGACTTGCTGTAAGATTTTAAACCAACAAATGCAAAGCGCCTATCACTTATTAGGTGATTTTAAAAAATGTTGGAATAATTATTTTATGGCAGAGTTATTCTTATATAACATTTTTTTTTTTAAAGAAAAGAAATGTAAAGATTTGTATGAAAGCTCAGTTTTCAGAAGATATAATAGTGGTGAGGGGCTACTGACAGAGCAGAAATAAGAGGTCTGAGAATATAGTTAAGCTTTTCAGGTAGCAGCAGTCTTATTTTATTAAGCACAGCATTTTTAATATATTTATAACCTCCCTAAAATACACTATGCACTCCCATGCTTTCTTAAGTGAAATATGCTAGATAACCATTAGTCTTTATTTCTGGACAACTCAGTACCAGCATTATGGGCAAAAGCTGGTGACACTTTTGGACCTATTAAATTACATAGGGCTGCCCTTTTCAAACTAGGATATGTGTTGGTATGCTGTATATTAAAAATAATACATAATTCTCAAGCATGGATTTAATTCACTCTAAGTAATTTGAAATGCTTTGGAATATATATATTTTAAGATTTTATTTATTTGACAGAGAGAGACACAGTGTGAGAGGGAACACAAGCAGAGGGAATGGGAGAGGGAGAAGAAGGCTTCCAGTGGAGCAGGGAGCCCAATGTGGGGCTCTGGGATCCCCGGGACCCTGGGATCAGGACCTGAGCGGAAGGCATATGCTTAATGACTGAGCCACCCAGGTGCCCTTGCTTTGGATATATTAAAAATACATATAATGTTTGGATGTATTAAAAACATAAAAACATTGTTTTTCAATATTCTGAAATATTGAATATTGAAATAAATCAAATATTTACTGAGTGTCTACTTTGTGCTGGATATTGATTCAAGTTCCTGGAGACAAAACATTAGGAAAATAAGGAAAAAATAACCGAACTCATGGAACTTATATTCTAATAGATGAAGATGGGCAATAAGCAAATAAAGTCTATACTACGCTAGATGGTGCCAAATGGAGTGGACAAAAATAAACAAGAGGAGTTTCACTCTAAAACAGGGTAGTCAGAGAAAGCCTCAGTGTGAAAGTTCCCTGTGATTAAGGGTCTCAAGAACTGGGAAAGTCAGACACTGGGATATCTGTGGGAGAAGTTTTCGGTAAAAGGAATACTAAAAATATAAAGGTCTTTAAGTGGGCTCACTGAGAACAGCAGGGAGACAATAATTCTGGGGATGAAGGAGCAGGAAAGTGGCAGATTAGATGAGACCGGTAAGGCACCAGGTCTCCTAAAGCTTTATAGCTTTTGTATTAATTTTGTGTATCCTCTGAGTGAGAAGACGGTGGAGGCTTCGAGAATAGGAGAGAGATGCTCTATACTCAGGACTAAAAAAGACACCGGGGCTGCTGCTGGGAGTAAAGGAACTAGACTAAGCAGAGAAACAGGAAGAGACCAATAGCAGAGGACACCAACGATCCAGGCGGGAGGCGCTGGCGGCTTGGACCAGAGTGGTCGCAGGGAAGGGGGCAGTCCCAGGATGCTGGACAGTTTCCCAAGAAGAGCAAATAGAATACCATGTGCAGAAATGAAGGGTGAGGAGGATGCGCCAAGGTTTCTGGCCTGAACACTTCTCGACATGTACCTGGATGGAGAAGGCTGTGGATGGAGCAGGTCTGGCCAGCAAGATCAGGAGCTTGCCCTGGAGAGGTAGAGGTAGAAAGCAAACTTCAAATGCACGTTCAGCATGAGAGCATAAAAGAAATAGGAACTTTCTGACAGATCCTTTCCAGGAATACCCCCAGATAGGTAAAAGGAAGACCTGAATATTCTCTCCTCTTAGGGCTCCTTGGGCAGACAGGTTTTTCGGGCGGTAATAGAGCTCTGGTTCCCAAATGGTCTCTCCCTTTCTCAGGGTCTCTTTTTATCCCTCAGTTTTCTCTCCTGCTCCAGGCAGTCGGGTAATACTTTCCCCATCTGACAATGTACTTGTTGATCCTTACACCCCTCTCCACTTTCTAATTTCCTGGAACGTGGAAGCCAGAGTGACAAGCTAGGCGGAATCTTGCGGAGGCCCAGAACGCCTTCCACGCGACTTGCATCTCTGCCCAGAGCTGGCCTTACTTCCTGGTTCTCAGGAAAAGAAATTCATTTCGTAAACCGGTTCCCGCAACACACCGCCTCGGAGTTGCGAAACCTGACGCGAGGTGGGACTGAGCCACACAAGGACTTGGAGCCGCCTCTCCAAGCCCCGGCTTCCTCCTCAAGTCGGATGAACTGATCCTCGGGAACCCACCCAACCCACCCTGGAGCAAAGTGGGCCCACACACCCTACTTCCTCTCTAACTTTTCTCATTTTGAAGACAGAAGGCGGTTTTTCTTCCGAAACCGTCCTTCAACAACTCTGGGACACAGGGATGGAGACCGGAGCGCAGACCGCGGACGATCTGTGAAGCAGACACGCATGGCGGGAATTCCTTACCTGCCCAGTAGCGGGGCGCCAGGGCGGCCGGGGCACCGCCCCGCTCAGCCGGCTGCGGAAGAACCCCGGCTTGCAACAGCACCGGGACGGGGTGGGCCCAAAATGTTAGTCCCCGCCCCAGTCCCCGCCCCAGTCCCCGCCCCGTACCTCCTCTGTACGCCGCCAGGCGGCTCTGCAGCGGGAGAAATGCCAGGTCTCGCGTAAAGCTCTTCTTTAAGTGGGAGCCTGCCCCTTTAAATACGCCGCTGTCGGAGACCAAGTAATTTAGGACTTCCGGACATGCGCGCAGCGTTGTGCCCAGGAATTCCTTAACTTGGATGCGAGGTAGACCGATAGAGCTTCTTGCGAGATGTGGGGCTTTGTGCAGGGCAATGACGAGATTAGCGTTGGGACCCCCGACTTTTTGCCCGAAAGAGGGAGGCGACATGAGCTAGTATCAGCGTTGGGGCAGGCGGGGCTTGTGGAGGGATAAGCAGGTGGAGACGCTGGCTGTGCTCGGGGTACTTTTGATGCGCCAGAAGGCAACCCCGCTAGAGACTAGTTCTGCGAATTGGTGGCGAAAAGCAAATAGGCGTGACTGCAGTTGAGCGTTGGCATTTGAAGGAAGAGCATGAGGGGAAAAGCGCTTCCTGCTGCCTTTCTAACATCTCCGCAGAATCTGCCCCCAACCAACAATTCCCCAACCTTGGGTCAGCCACACTACCCACTCGTCTCCGCCCCGCACCCTCGTCAAGAAGTCTGCTGTCTAGGAATACTGCCTATTTGTGTTAAACTGGACGTGGGCTTCTAGCCTCCCTCCAGCTCCGTTCCACTCTTTCACTAAGATGCTCAGTTGTAATTCTCTGAACATTACGTTCTTCTCAAGGTGTTCTAGCTAACCCAGTAGCTTAGAAGGTCTTTATATCTTCTTCCTTCTACTGGGGAAAGAGTACGTCATTATTCTTTACTAGGACAGCCCTAAAACTGCTCTCGATAACATTGCTTTCCAACTCTTGGACTTCTTCATCACATTGATCTGCTCAGTGCCGTCATTCATCTTACTGAAACGTCTTTTTGGACTGTGTCCTTTTTCTACTCAAACACCTCCAGTAGCTATATGTTGACCACCCGACGCATTCCAAGTTCTTGGTTGGGCATTCACTGTCTGGCAGTTTGGTTCTAATCCTAGCTGTATTTTCCAGAACTGTACTACAAAACTTTTCCTCCTATTGTTTATGTATCTGGGCTGTTTAGTTTTCCCTAACATATTGCATATTTGTATGTACTTACGATATGTCTCTACCTTATTTCTATGTCTTGAATTGTTTGGAGGACTTAAATGGTCCCTTGTATTATGCTTTCTCTGGTTATCATAGGTGAAAGTGATCTGTTGGTTCCTTTATATCAGTCAGGGACAACCTTTCTGAGTTGTGACTGAGGAATTACTAATTTAATCAGCGGGAACAGTTAACACAAGGAATTGAAGAAGGCCATTGTAGTTGGAGTATAGTGCGTAATGGAGAAAGGGTACAAGATAAATTTGGAGAACAGATAGAGTCCAGAATCTTAGCGGTTTCTGGAATCCAGGGTAAGTAATTTAGATTTCATTATCAATATGATTAGAGGTCTTAAAGAGCTTTGTGATATGATTTAACTTACCTTTCAAATTATCGTTCTGGCCATGTGGAGAATAGACAATAGTGGATGCGTTAAGTAGAGGCAGATTCGAGACCTTCACAATATGTAAGAATTTCTAAGATGGGAGTGCTAAATGATGGAAGGACAGCAAGAGTAATCAGAGAGCCAGACGCTTAAAGTTGATGTAATTTTTGGTGTTGAGAAAGTCAAGGTTATGACCAAGATGAAGTAAAAGTGACTTGAAGTGGAGATCAAGGAACAGAGGGACTGTGGTGTTAAACAGATGATGCATATGGATGGACATGGAAGTCATGCTGGATAGGAAGACATTGAGGGAGTTGTTAAAATCATCTGTGAATGAAGAGGAGTCGTCTGGGGACCAAAGAGAAGATGATAGCAGATGGCAAAGCCTGATCGCATGAACTTCAAAGGCATTGGGATTTGGGGGAGGTAGAGGAGTGAGAAATGGTTTGCAGAAGTGGCAAACAGAAAATATTTACTTCCTCCAGGTCCTAAGTTAAGTAGGTGTGAAAGGAAGAATAGCTTTCACTTGAGAGGACTAGAGAAGCAGCAGCATGGGGAAATAGCTAGGTTTCAGTTACGGCAAGAAACTGAGGAGGCTGTGCAGGAAATTAAGGAACAGAGGAAAATAAATATATCCTTATGTAGTTTAGGAAATTAGGATATAGAGACTTTGCTGTGATTTCCATGTGACACGATGCATGGGGCACTTTATTAAATTGGTTCAGATTAGTAGAATACATTTTAGAAATGGGATGAAGGTCCAGAAGATGATGAGTTACCTAGAGAGGTCGTTAGTATTTGAATAGTATGTGGTCCTTGGGTGTTTTATCTTTGATATAGCACTATCTGGTATGGTAACTGTGGGCTGTGTGAAGAGTGAATAAAAGCTTTTTCAGAGGATTATTCTCTTACCTACTGCTTAGGATTTGTGAAGTGTTCTTCTCTCTGATGCCAGTAACACGGTTGGAATTTTCCTGTGGGTCAACATCAAAAGTTTGTATCTGTAAAAGTCTGGAACTGGGTTTTCAAGAAAGTTTAAGGCTCAGGATTAATTTAAGTGTGTTTTGAAGCATAATCAAATTGCAAGCTGGTTTTTAGAACTTCATTTATCTATCAATTTGGACTATTTCTTCCTGTCTTCTAGTCCTTTCTCTCATCTCTAACCCCTAATATATAAAAATCTAGCCACAAATTCTCTGGAATAAGCTGGAAATTTTCAGGGATGGGATTTAGACAAATAACTTTAAGTCTTATGTTCTGGTCTCTTTGTGGGCCTACAAGTAGGATTTTTAAAGTAAACTTGAAACTGATCCATTTCAATCCTGGATAATAGATGGAAGCTTGGAGTGGGTGGAGAATGAAGTTGCAAATCATCAGTTATAACAGAAAAGATTACCTGTTAATTCATTTTGGTATAGAAGAGTGAAAATACATATGACATATAGAAATAAATTGCTAATGCCTTTTAAGGGGACTCAGGATTGAAAGGGAGAAAGAAAAATCCTACAAGTATATTTCTTTATTGTTATCCATAACTTTTCTTTCTGGTAACTGACTGCCTCTTTGTTTCTTTTGTAGGCATTGTTATTTAAGAATGGAAGAGGATACAGATTTTAGGATCAGGTTTAGTTCCTTGCGTTTCATTACTGATCATGTTGGATTTCATGGCACTATAAAAAGTTCACCAAGTGACTTTGTTGTTATAGAGATTGATGAACAGGGACAGTTAGTTAATAAGGCCACCAATGAGCTGATTAGTAAAGTACAACCTGAGCCAAATAATTTTGCCAAAAAGACAAAACTTGATTTTCAAAATTTATCCTTTAAAGAGGGAAGGAACCAAGAAGTCAGTACTTTCACTGGGTGCTCTGATGATGACCACAATAATCAGTCTCCTTCAGAAAAGGAAGATACTATCAGTGACGGAACTTCCAAAAGTGAAGAAGAAAAAGTTGACGTTTTAGGCAACTTGTTAGATGAAAAAACTAATGAATTACTGAATCACTTTGCCTGCGATATAAAAGAGAAGTGGAATTCTAAAACTGAGCTAATTGGATCATCTCCTGAATTCTCATTGGGCAGAATCCTTGACAAAAACCAGAGGGCTATTTTGCATAGTGCTGTTAGGCAGAAATTCCCCTTTTTAATAACTGTTGGTAAAAACAGTGAGATTGTTGTAAAACCGAATCTTGAGTTTAAGGAACTCTGTCACTTGGTATCTGAAGAAGAAGCATTGGACTTCTTTAAATATTTGGATGCAAAGAAAGAAAATTCCAAATTTACCTTTAAACCTGATACAAACAAAGACCACAGAAAAGCAGTCCATCATTTTGTCAACAAAAAGTTTGGAAACCTTGTAGAAACCAAATCTTTCCCCGAACTTAGTTATAATGCCGGTAATCCAAATGTAGTGATTACAGTAAGATTTCGGGAAAAAACACACAAGCACAGGAAAAGGTCTCTTTTTGAATGCCGGGATCAAAAAGTTATATACACAGGTAATGTAATAAATCATTACCATTTTCTTTGATAAAGTTAGTTAAAATTGTGTGAAAGATTAATAATTTCAAATGAATTAAATAGACTTAACCAGAGGGGTGTCAGAAAAAATATTTGGGTGTGGTTTTTAGTGGAAGATAAAGCCTTTCGAATTACACTAATTTTAAGAATTAATCTTATTGATCAAAGTATGGTTAACACAGATGCTTATAATTAACATAGTCACAAATGTACAAGGTTGAAGGAGTTATTTTGTGTTTAATATGTTTTATTGGAGATAAATCTTGATTTCATATTTTAGAAGTTATTTTAATTAAAACTAAATACTCAGATAAGTAGAATATGTCTGCTGTGCTTGGGAAAATGAAGAGAACACCTTGTTATCTAAACAAATGAACTTCACCACGCAAGGCAGAGAACCTCCTTTCAAGGAGCTCCTTCTTTGTCACTCTTTTAGAGAGGAGGTTCTCAAGCTTTAACATGCATTAAAAATCATGAAAAGGGCCTGTTAAACAGATTTCTGAGCTGTATTCTCAGAGTTTCTGGTATACAAGGTTTGGGGCAGGGCTTTCAGAAATGCCTAGGTGATACTTTTTCTCCTCGGTCCGGGGACCACATTCTGAAAATCACTGTTTAGCAGGTATATTCAATCCCTAGGCCTGGAAGGAACTGATGAAATCTTATTCTACAAGTCCGGCTGATCAGGTTTAATTGGTCTGTATCCTACATGAAGAATAGGAAGTGTTTCAGATGGTCTTGTTTTATAGATAGAGCAAAGCTTTTAAATTTTTTTTCCTGGTTAAACACATTATTTAATTTTATTTATTTTTTAAGTTTTTATTTTAATCACCCAATGCTCATCATGATGAGTGTACTCCTTAATCCCCATCATGTATTTCACCCGTCCTCTTCACCTACCTTCCCCCTGGTAACCAGCAGTTTGTTCTCTGTAGTTAAGAGTGTTTC